AAGTCTGAGACAGGACTTGAATCCAAATCATTGCCTCCTTGGAATTTCTGCATGGGCTGAGGAGTAAGAGGGAAGAACAGGACTGCACCTTGTAACTACAAAGCAGAGATGCTAGGACACCAGCATGAGGCCTCTCCTCTAGGTACTCCAGTTGATAGCTTCACACGCTCACTAATTAATCTTGTTAAATAGGTTCCAAGTTACTAAAGGACTACAAAAGCTATCAGAACACACTGAAACAAAATATTCAGTGTCCTCTAAATTCATCACCCTAGGACAAATCCCTATCTCTCCTCTTTAATTATGTTTCTGGCTAATCTGTTGGCTCATGTTAATTTTATTTTTAAAAGATTATTCTATTTTTGTTTTATTATTTATTTTGTTTTTTATTTATTGCTTTTCCTTTTAAAGCATCTTCATTTCCAAATATATTACTTTTTCCTCCCTAACCAGAGAGCCATTCATGTGACAAATAATTTTTAAAACAGGTGGAAAAAGGCCAATTTAGTAAAACTAGCCAAAACATCAACCAAACCTAATGGTGAATTTAATGTTCTATACCCATAGTCCCCTACACCTACAAAGAAGGACATGTTTTCTCATCTCTTCATTAGGACAAAGATTGATGTTTAAATTAATTTTAATAAGAAACTAGGCTCTTGGGGTTGTTTTCCCTTCCCCTAATTCTTGTCATTCATGATATTTTCTGTAGAAACCTTTGTCTACTATTATATCCTATCTAACAGGGAAAGAAGAGACATGAGTCTTAGATTATATGGTTAGATGATAGGAATGCACTCTCTTTGACCTGAATTTAATCTTGTTTCCTTGTGAGACGAGATTAATTTGGCCTGCCAAGTGACCAAATGAGTGATGCATTTTTCTTTCTCAACAAGGGCCTGGCTTTAATGGGGTATTATAAATCTCTGTCTATGCTGACAGCATGTGTCAAAGTGAAGCAGCTAGCTTAGGTCACAGCTGAGCTGGTCTAAATGCCCAGTCATAGGCCTGACTCATGCCTAAGGAATGTCAAAATTGTCTCTTTGAGAGGGCCTCTGCATGACAATACTTCTTATGGAGTTGTCTAAAATTCTCTTAAACTAGCCATCAAATGAGTTGGTCAAGCTAGAGGGAGGGGGGGCACAAATGTCATATATCTCCTGAAACAAGATGGCAACCCCACAGGCATCCAAGCTTACTAGGAGACTAGGTTAGGGAAAATTTTGTATCTCAACTGGTCTTTTGAAGAGGTCCTCAGATAAGAACCATAGTGCAATTCAATTATACTGGCCTACTTGTAGAATCATAGATTTAGGGCGAAAAGGGACACCTTAGAGGTCATCCAGTCCATTCTTTAAGTGACTGGCCCATGATTACCAGCTAGTAAGTATCAGGGTCAGGATGTAAACCTGGGTTTTCCTGACTCCAAGAACAACAGATCATCCTACTATAGATATCTAGGTGGTACAAGGATAAGAGGACTTGATCTGGAGTCAGGAAGTCATGAATTCAAATCCTGCCTCAGATATTTTTACTAGCTATGTGACCCTGGGCAAGTTTCTTTTTTTTATTTTTCTTTTTAGTATTTTTAGAGGCAATCAGGGTTAAGTAACTTGCCCAGGGTCACACAACTGCTAAGTGTTAAGACTGGATTTGAGCTCAGGTCCTCCTGACTCCAGGGCTGGTGCTCTATCCACTGTGCCATCTAGCTGCTATTATTATCTACTATATCATGTTGTCTTTACTTGTCTTTCCTCACGCAGAAAGCTAAATCTGTGTCTTTGCACAGTTATCTCCCATTCCTGGAACTCTCTCTCTATCTACTCACCTCTGCTTCTCAGAATCTCTTGTTTCCCTCAAGACTGAGCTGGACAGTCACTTCCTGCACCTTTCCTGACACCCCCAGATGCTAATGCTTTGCCCTCCAGGCTTCCCCTGTATCTGCTTTCCCTGGGCTTTGTTTATATCTATAGAGGTACCTGTTGTCTCCTCTATTAGAATACAGGCTCATAATGGACAGAGGCTGTTTGATTTTGAGTTTGTTTTTTTTTTTTTTGTATCACCATCGACTACCACAGTGCTTAACACATACAAGGCGCTAGATAAATGAGTGCAATTAATTACAGAATTGAGTATCTCTACTACACTCTGTAAAGTGTTTATTTGCAGATTTTTTTTACCTTATCCCTCTTACTGTAGATGTTGAAAACTATCTAAAGTTCAATTCTGGAATGAATAGGCTCAGTGTAAGGGACAGTCATGGTGGCCTAGCTTTAGCACGAATCCTGGGGCAAGTGGATGGTTGGCATGCCCAAAGGCATTTTGGAAATCAGCATATGACGGGCAAAAGTGAACTGTCTGTCATTCAGGGCAGGATTTGAGTCCCTCCACCAGGACTATTTCTTCACAGTGATTCATTACCTGTATCATGGGTCCCAGCTGATCTCCTTGAAGGCCATTTGGATAAGTCACTAATACTATGAACTACTCAGGTCAAGGTGTCCAAAGAATGGGGAAGAGAGACCATTCAAGTCAATAAGCCTCTCTAAATAAATTTAATCTTGTGGTCTGGTCAGAGATATTCATAACAGCATTACTAGTAATTGCAAAAAAAAATCCAAATAAACCTGGAAATGATCAAAATAGTAGATCAATGGTTAAATAAACTGAGATGGAGATGATGATGATGATGATGATAATAGCCAGTATTTATAAAGGGACTGAAGATTTGCAAAGTCCTTTACATATATTATCTTATTTATGCTTGCAACAGTCCTATAAAGTAGGGGCTATTATTATCCTTATTTTATAGAGAAGGCACTGAGGCACAGAAAAGTTGTGACTTGCCCAAGGTGACTCAGCTAGTAAATGTCTGAGGTAGGATTGAACTCAGGTCTGTATGAATCCAATCTAGCACCCTGTCCACTGTGCCACCTATTGTTCAGTCAAGACCAACAAATAAGAGGAACATTTAGGTTAAAAAAAAAAGTCAGTTTCATATGTATAAGATGAGGAGTATTAAGGGCAGGCCTCATGTCAACATTTTGTTAGTTCAGGTTCAATGTTGGGAAGAAATGAGGCACTTGTAAAACATTAAAGGGTTAAAAAAAAAAAAGGTTTACTTTGCCCTAGCACAGCAGGGATGTGCATACACAAGGTCACAGTAGGCATTCAGTTCTGGACCTGGCCCGTCATATGGAAATGAGTCTGTTTGGCAGGGTAGGGCACGGTCACTTGAGTGGTCCTCAGAAATCTACCAAGTTGGAGGGGTCCTGACCCCATTTGTACGGGACTTTTTATGTCCTTCAGTCACTGGAAAGCTGCCTCAAGGGAGGCTGGGGCCAATCAAGCCTCAGGGCCGGCTTTGATGCCTTTTAGGGAAAACTAATCCTTGTGGGGAAATGAGAACTCTCCTTTGATCACAGGGAGGCATGACTAGACAACAGTTTTTTGAAAAATATTTGGGGATTTTAATGACCTGAAAATTCAGTATTAGTCTGCAGCATAATATAACAGTTATATAGATGTGTGTATGTATATTTATCTATGTATATGTTTATGTATATGTATATATGGTTTAGATATTTGTATGTATATGTATACATATTTACATTTACATATATATACATATATATATATGTGTGTGTGTGTGTGTGTGTGTATAATGTTTTACATTGCAGTGAGAGGCAAAGTGCCTGGGCACCTCTGAGCGAGGATTGTGAGGTTTCTTATTGGTGAACATTCACCATATGTAACCTGGACCTGAACTCATGTAACTAAGGATACCACACCACAGAGCATGTGCCCCACCCCAATTCCTGCCCCTTCCTCCCAATTTCTCCTTTTATACTCTAGCTCTGAGGATAGTTAATCAAATCACCACTACCAAAACACTCCTCTCTGGCCACCACTACCCTACACGTACTGTTTTTCCTTATTAGAATGTAAACCTATGTACCTAAGCCAATGTACCTACCTACCTGAGGGTAGGTACTGTGATACATTTAGCTGGCACTCCCCTGACACTTAGCACAGTGCCTGGTCCATGGCAAACACTTAATAGACGCGTTGTTGTTGTTTTTTCCCATCCCATTCCATGTCCCCTTGCCTTGGTCAGAACACATCAAGAATATTGTGCTCAGTTCTGGGCACCATGTTTTTTAGGAAAGATTTTGACAAACTGGAGAGTGTCCAGAAGGAAGCCTCCAAATGATGAGGAAATCATGATCATGCCATCTGAAGATTAGCCAAAGGGACAAGAGCGTTTCGCCTGGAGAAAAGAAGATTTTGTGGGGGCATGCTTGTCATCTACAGGTATATGAAGGTTCATCATGTAGAAGGATTAGTCTTGCTCTCCTGGGTCCTGGAAGAGCAATGGGCCAGAGTACCGTGTTCAGCTCAACACAAGGAAACGTTTCTCAACAATTAGAGCCGTCCAAAAGTGGAACAGGCTGTGGGGGGAAGTAGCGAGTTCCCCCTCACTGGAGGCTTTCAAGTACAGGCTGGATGATTCCTTGTGGGGATGAAGGCTTCCTGTTTTCAGATATGAAGTCCTTTTAACCTCTGGGGTTTTATGATTTGTGACAAGGATCAGATGGTGTCTGATCTCTCTAAAAGACTTCTGTAGGGGAAGCCCTAATGAAAGATATGTCTTTGACTCTGCAATGGTTTCTTAATTCATAGGGATTTTTCTGCTTCTTCATTTGAAGGATGGCTAATGTCCATCACTCCTGAATTGTAAGAAGAAAATAGCACAGAGGGCTTTGCATGGAAGCAGTAGAAGAAAGAAGTCTATGTTTCTTCTTCTCCCTCATGGCCCACACTTGGGGGTGGGATATGGTAGTGAATTTGAATTTTCCTGATAAGATGGTAATATCCCTGGGGGCAGAAATTAGGATCTATGGTTCTGTACCCCTCCACTGCACCCACCACAGTATGGGGTACATAATAGGTGCTCAATAAATACCTTTTGAATGATTGATTGAATGAACCTGCCTTACCTCCGGATGGTCCTTAGAAGGGTAGACCTGGCTTCATTATGGAAGGTGATGATGATGCTGGTTGGAGGAAGGTCTGGACCATAGTGCAAGGTTGCACATCTGGGAAGAAAAAAGAAACAATATTCATTCATTCATCTAGGTGGTACAGTGGATAGAGTACTAGGCATGGAGTCAGAAAGACCCAAGTTCGAATCTGGCCTCAGATACTTATTAGCTATATAACCCTAGGCAAGTCATTTGACTTTTGTTTGCCTCAGTTTCCTCCTCTGTAATAAGCACCTACTTTACAAGGCTGTTGTGAAGATCAAATGGGAAATTATGTAGAGTGCTTAGAATAGTGTCTGGCACAGATTAAGTGCTATATAATTGCTTATTCTTTTCTTATATTAAAAAAAATTGATTAACCGCTTGGCACACAAATACTCTAGTACAGAGGATAAATGTAACCCACCCCAAAGCCTATTGCTTTGGGACTCTCTCCCTATTGGTGGAGATCAATGCCCCACTTCTGTCACACATTTAAGGAAATGACAAATTGGGAGAATTAAGAGAAGCATGGAAAGGCTTATATGAACTGATGCAGAGTGAAGTAAATATAACCAAGAAGACAACATACACAATGACAATGAATGGAAAGAACAACCAAAAAAAAAAAAATGTGGACATTGTCATTATGATGCTGATTGAATAAAAAAATATGAACTTCTACTGTGTTTATAATGATTTATGATGCAAATACAAAAGGATCCCCAGAAGTCCCTGCCCTTGTAACCCATATTCTAATGAAGGAGACAACATATAGAGGGGTGTGGTGTCCGGGGGAAGGAGTTATAGTTTGGAAAGTCACAAGATGTAAGTGGAACAATATGGCAGCCAATTGGCATGTCCTTTCCAGGTGATATGGTGACTTTGATTACAGTTCTCAGAGCAAGAGTGGAAAAGGAAGGAAGGGGAGGGGAGGGATGTATGTGCAGTAGGAAAGAAACCTGCCAGGAGGAAGATGAGGTTTCACATTCCCAGGAAATGCAGAGCAAAGTGGGCTTGGCTCTCCCAAGACATAATCTCTAGAATCTGTTTTGGAAGCTGGAGTGGCAGTAATACTAGAAGTCCCATATAAGAGATAAGAAAATAGTTCCTTCCATTCTTTGGAGAGGTGGGGAACTACAGGTGCAGAACACTACACATACCATCAGGCATGGCTGTTAGGTTGGATGATTTTGCAGAACTGGTTTTTTTCCCCCATCTCTTTGTAAAAACAACTCTTTGTTATATGCAATGAGTCACTGAGTAAGGGAAATGGGAGAGATATATTCATAAATGAAGGTGATACAAAAATGAGATATCAATAAATATATTAATTTTTTTAAAAAGAAAGTATAAAAGGGATTGAACTAAATCAGGGATTCTTAACCTGAGGTCAGTGAACTTATTTTTTTTTAAATAACTATTTCAATAGAATTGATTTCCTTGGCATTTTGTATTATTCCTTTCAATATAATTGGTTTTCTTTATGTCTTATTTTATGCACTTAAAAACATAATTATGACAAGTTTAAATATATTAATTTTTTTATAAAAGAAATAAATTATGAAAGGGATTGAACTAGATCAAGGATTCTTAACCTGGCAGGGTTGACGAACTTTTTTTTTTACAACTGTATTTCAACATAATTGGTTTCCTTTGAAATCTTTTGTATCTAAATATATTCTTCTGCAAAAGGTCCATAGGCTTCACCAAAGCCTCTGTGTGTGGGGGGGTGGGAGAGAACACAAGTATTTATTAAGCTCCTACTCTGTGTCAAGCACTATGCTAAGCACTTTACAAATATTATCTCATTTGATTCTCATTAACAATCCTGGGAGGTAGGTACTATTATTAAACTCATTTTACAATTGAAGAAACTGAAGATGACAGAGGAAAAGTGACTTGTCTAGGATCACATAGCTAGTAAGTATCTGAGGCTTGATTTGAACTCAGGTCTTCCTCACTATAGGTCCAGTACTCTATTCACTGTGTCAACTAGCTGCCATGATATGTACCAACAGAAGGTTAAGAACCCTTGGTCTAAAGCCTCAAAAGAATAAGTTTAATCTCCATCTTCCAGGCTTCAGTCCTTCTTATTCTTAAAGACATTATCATGGCCCTCCTAAGTGCCCCCTTCTTCATACTAATCATCTCTATTTCCTTTCATTAGTCCTCATATCGTCTGAACTCAAGGACCTTTACTACCCAGGTTGCCCTCCTGTGGATGCTTTTCAGCTTATCAATGTCTTTCCTGTAAAGTAGCACCCAGAACTAAATACAATGTTTTATATGCAGTCTAAGCAGAGAACAGTACAATAGATCAGAAGAATCAAATTCATTCCTTGGGAGGCTACCAGATTAAAATGTAATTGGGAAATGTTTAACAAAATAAATAAAAATACAATACAATATAGATAATATTAATTTGTCATTTTCTAAGTCAATATATGGCCTGCGAAAGGGCTATAAAACTATGCATACCCTCCAGTAATACCATTGCTAGGTCTATATCCCAAAGACATCAGAAAAAAGGGGAAAAGACCTATTTGTCCAAAAATATTTATAGCAGCTCTTTTTGTGGTGGCTAAGAATTGGAAATCAAAGGGATGCCCATCAATTTGGGAATGGCTAAAACAAGCTGTGGTATATGATTATAATGGAATGTTATTGTGCTATAAGAAATGACAAGCAGGATGATTTCAGAAAAACCTGGAAAGACTTACATGAACTGATTCAAAATGAAGTGAACAGAACTAGGAGAACATTGTACACAGTAACAATATTGCATGAAGAAAAATTGTGAATGACTTAGCTATTCTCAGCAATGCAATGATCCAAGACAATCCCAAAGGACTAATGATGAAGCATACTATCTGCCTCCAGAGAAATGTTTGAATACAGACTGAAGCATGCTATTTTTCACTTTCTTTCTTTTTTTTTCTTTTATTCGAGTCTTCTTGTACAAAATGACTAATATGGAAATGTTATACATAACTGCATATGTATAACCTAAACCTGATTGCTTACTGTCAGGGGTTGGGATGGGGGGAGGAAGAAAGAGAGGGATAGAATTTGGAACTCAAAACTATAAATGGAAATGTTTTTAAAAATGTGGACTGAATGGATCTGTTTCTATTTGTTTGAGACCATTGCAATAGATGATCACCTCCCTAATCCTGTACATTATCCCTTCCTTTATGTGGCCTAGTATTATTCCAGCTTTCTTGACTTCGGCATCCCTGTGCTAAGTCATGATAACTTTGCAGTCCACTAGGACCCATGAATTGTTTTCAGACAAATTACTAGTTGGCCATGCCTCTCTCCTCTTATATTTATGAAGTTGATTTTTTAAACCCAAGTATAAGACTTTCTACTTATTGCTATAAAATTTCATCTTATTAAATTAGCTTGTGTTCTAGTCTGTCAAGACTTTTTTGAGTCCTGACTTTGTCATCTAGTATATTATCTAACCGTCACAACTCTGTCGGCTGCAAGTTTGTTGAATGTGTTGGGATTTTTTTTTTCTAAGTCACTAACAAAAACATTAAATAACATAGAGCCCAACAAAGTTCCCTGGGATATTCCAGCTACTAGAAATTTGCTTCCAAGCTGACACCGAACTATATCACTGCCTCTTCTTTGGGTGCAGACTTTTCATTATCATGGAATCTACCTAATTGTGCTGTAGGTTGTGCCAAAAATCTTAGTGCAGTTTCAAGCTTTAATAGCTTGTATAACCTGTATAAACCTAGCCTACATTTTAAACTTTTTTCTAGAAAAATAATATGAGACTTTTGCTAAATGTTTTACTAAAATCTAGATAAACCATATCTGTAGCATTTCCCTGACCCTGTCAAAAGAGAAAATGAGGTTAGTTTGACATGACCAATTCTTAAAGTCATCTGGCTCTTTTGTGATCCTTATTTCCTTTTCTAGTTTTTCTAACCATCCTGATAACCACATGTCCGAGAATTCTGCCAGAAATCAAGGTTAACTTAGAAGTCACTACCTTAGATTTTGCAGACTTCATTCTCTTCCCTTTAATAAAGAAAATCATACCATTTGTCCTTCTCCAAACTGGAGATATGTTTCCCTTTCTTTATGCTCTTTCATTACTGATTGTTCTTACTGTACACAAAGATATATTTCCCTCACGGCAGGTAACTTGAGCTCAGTAAAGGCAGCTAAATGCTCTCTTACTCTCTATTTGACAATGGAAAGAGGGATGGATTTGGAGTCAAATGAATCTGGGTTTGAATCCTAGCTCTTCCATTTACTATCTATGTGACCTTTAGCAATGTACTCAATCTAGATTTCCTCAACTATAAAATGAGGTGGTTGGACCAGATGGCCCTTAATGTCCCTTCCAGATCTATGAATTCCCTTTTTTGCTCTGGGCCCACTGTTTCTGGAAATATGGCAACTCAAAAAGACAAGTTCAGGGGACTCCTTAACAGGCCTTAACACTTTCCATTGGAAGATAGTTTTCCTTGGCAGAGAAAACTGAAGTAAAAGAAGGATTGAGTTTCTATATCTTCTCTCTAACATCACTTAGTATCATTCATCCACCCAGGGCAACATGTTATCCTTTCTTTGATAATACTCTTTTCTGTAATATAGCTTAAAAAAATTAAAAAAAAAACACCTTATTGTTTTCTCCAGCATGTTTCACCAGCCTCAGGTCATTCTATGTTTTAAAACTATTGATACCTTTTGACAAGAATCTACTGCTGCATTCATCTTCCGTTACCTGGTTTTGATTTCACACTTTATAGTTTGCTTTTTTTTTCTTTTAAAAGATTAGCTACTCTATCTCACCCAGGCTGGAAGGGCAGGGGCACTGGGCAGGGAGGGGTTGGGGGAAAGGAGGTGCTGATCACCCTCCTAATTAGCTCTGGAGCTTTGACCTGTTCCACTTTTCTCACTTGGGCTGGTCTGTCTCTCCTTAGGCATCCTGGTGGGTCCATGCTCAGGGCCTCGCTCTATTAGCCCTGGACTTAGGGAGGACATCCAATCAGCTCAGAATGCCTCAGATCATGGTATCTGCCAGCCTCAGCCTCCCCTAGCAGTAATGA